ATCCTGGCTATTCCCTCACACCTAAAGTGCCTTAGGGTCAAAAAGCAAAGTTCTCTGCTGCTTCCTTCAACATTCCTCCTCGGAATTTATACGGCAGAGTAACTTTTTCTTTAAGGTGTATGTCATCCTGTCCTCCTAAATAGTCTGTCCTGGACATTTCCTCTTCATTCCTTGAGATCAATAATCCTTAATTCAATCTTCTTTTACACTTCAATTTCTGCCAGTATCTTTTGTTACTTCAATGTCCATGTGGATAACCTATCCACCAAGAACGTGGCCTCGCCTGACCAATTTACCCATCTCCAGTGATGCTGCCTCCTATTCCTCTCAGATGCCCACTCTGGCCCTTGCCATCTACCGCATTAACTGAAAGCAGTCTTCTCTCTAGTCACATTCCCCTGTCATGTGTACTTCTTCCTCAACTCCCCCTCTCACATCTGTCCCTTGATATCCCTGGGATTTTCAGTCCACCAACCTTTCCTTCCCCTGCCTATCAGGCCCTTTCCAGCTTCACTTCTCTCTTTCAACTGAGATCTCATGGTCTAAAATATAAATATATGTCTTAAAAATACTCAACATTTTTGCCTCTCTCTTCATCCCAGACATATCAATTAATGCCCATCTTCAATTAGCAACCCCATATTGTACCCTCCACCAATGATGACATCAATGGCGTCAGTATTTAAGCATATTCCTTTCTCTCCTATCCTCAAAAACATCTTTCCTAAAGGCTTACTTTCCAAAAACTGTCTCTTCTTCCTATTTTCATAGCCAAACTTGGGTGTAAAGGTTGTCCACATGATTGCCACTCTAGTTTGGATTTTGCCCTCGCTACCCCACCCAAATCTGTCCCTCTAAGGCTACCCATTACTGGCCTATCAATGAACAGTTTTCAATACTTAGATTATTGGTTCCATTAGAAGCATTTGACAAAGTTGATTCCTTCCTTTATAATTGATTCTTGGCTTCTGTGATATTTTGCTATCTCTTTCTTCCTACCTTACCCTTCCTTTCTCCAGCCTTTAAGTCTTAGAGTTCCTGAGGATCTTCCTCACCCCGAGACAAGCCCACCCACTCCCATGTCTACTTACTATAGATGCTATGCATTCACACAGAAATATAACATGGAACCAGAATTAATGGAACACAGACATCTGGGTGCCTATTAAGTACATTTAGCATTACAACTTCAATTTCATCACATTTTCTGTAGGTCAGAAGGCCATATGGGCTCAGCTGGGTTCTCTGTTTAGGGTCCCTCAAGACTAAAATCGAAGTTTCAGCTGGGCTGGGCTATTACCTGAAGGCTCTGGCAAGAATCTACTTCTAAGCTCCTTCAAGATGTTAACTGAATGCAGTCCTTTGCAGTTGTAGGACCGAAGCCCCCATTTTCTAGCTAGTCACATTGCATACATCATGCTAACTAAATACTGTCTGTATAAGGAAGGGTTGTGTATGTTCGTGAGAGACAGAATGAAGTCTCATTATTAATGAATCATAAGAAAAAATCCACATTACTATTAAGAAATCTAGTAACTTGAATGAGAAATACAACTGGACTGAGGAAAGGAGGAAAGGCTATTCCAGGCAGCCGTTACACACAGGAATGCAGAGTCAAAAATGCAGATGAAGAAGGTAACTGGGGTTCTACACTAGGGGAAGAGTGCCATATGAACGCAGCCAAGTATATGAGAAAAATTCCAATTATAAGAGGGCTATACCATGGTAGGAAGGGTAACTGATAACACTCTAGCTGTTGAGTATGGCTTAAGAGATCACTAAAACAAGTAAATAATAAACCCACGGGCTATTTCAACATTTATCAGTCAGGGTCCTATTTGAAAACCCTGGAAGCTAACTCAAAGTGGAATAGTAATTTACTAAAGGAATCGGGATGACTAGAGAACAGGCTTACAGGTAAGCTTCTCAAAAACAAAACCTAAAGCCGTCCTGCAAAACTGGCCTGGTGAGGAAATTTTGCTGCTGCCCCCACTGGACACTTTTGTGCCAAGGTCTTTTCTCTCCTGCAACTGTCACTGTCTAGCACCAATACTGTTTCTGCACCAACAAAGCTATTTCAGAATTTTTACTGACTCTGAGGATCAGATTCCTCCACCATCAGCCTCATGCAGACATGAGGTGAGCGCAGCACCCGCTTCTCTGTTCAGTCCGCACTGAGGTTTCCAGGAAAATATTTCATATTTTCTCAGGCAATAATGAGACTGCCCTAGCTACTGGTTAGACTGGGAAGTGAACTTTACAGCTTACCCTGGTGGGGGGGCGGGGAGACTAGTAGCTGGGACTTTCTCAGACATTAGGAGATGGTTGAAAAAACAGGGAAGAGTAAGAAAACATAATCAATGTCCGAACAAAATGTCATACATTTAGCACACAAAACTCATCTAAAATCCACCCATTTCTGTTCTTACCTAACGCCTTTCCCAATATAAACTAGTAGAATTGGAATATCAGAGATAGATGGGACATTTGGTTTAACTCCCTCATTTTACTAATGAGAAACCTGATGCCTAAAGTGATTAGATCATTTATCCAAGGTTATAACCACAACTAGTGGAAAAAACTCATGTTTTTTTCAACCCTTTGTATATTTTCTATCATTCAGTGATCAAACTGTATCTTTATCTTAAAGTTCAACTTAAATCCTACCCTACAGAAAATGCAGGATTTAGTTCTCAAAAAGTCTTTGGGTGATGGTGGTCACTTTTCTCTCAATGTACTGATTTGATCAGTTCCTGAAAAACTAGCTATAGAGCTAAATGTTACATTGTAGAATTCTATTTTTCTATTATTAGCCCTGAAGGTAAACTATAACTAAGCTTCAAATATGTTTTAATCCTAGTATATAAATTTTTTGGCTGGATTAAAACTGTCCCTTGCCAAAGGCTAATATTCTTGCAACAACAAGTAAGTATTTAAAAGCTACAAGAATAAATGTTTCATTATGAAAGAACTTCTCACTTATATTACATTTTACAGAATTAAAGCTAAAATCACCCATGTAATCTATAATCACATGATTTCTCCATATCAAAACTTAAGCAAAGGGAACATTAATACTGTAGCATACACAGAACATACAGATTCTAGTAGTATTTTATTATTATGATAAGACAACTGATAGACAAAATTATGAATCTTGACCTCACAACTGTGGTGTGCTGAATTGCTTTTGGCACAGAATCCAAAAACAAGCAATGAGATTTTGAGAAGACAGAACAGGAAAGAAGATAAGAGAGAAGAACAATTAAACACAGCCATTAGATTTGGGAAGTGTGGCAATTAGAGAAGAAATTCTCCAAGAGCTGAAGATGGTTGTATTCAGATTTAAATGTCATGTCTTAGAAGCTGTTTGTCCAGCACTGTCTTCTTTTTGTGAACATCCTCAGAAATTTATTGTACTGGTTGTCAGAAATACAGAATCTATGACCATAAGCTAATACATGTAATGTAGGTGTGTACAGAAATAATTAAGTTTGACCAGAGATAAAACCACATTATTTTCTATGGCTTCATTTTCTTTGTGAAATGAATATACTTAATACAGAACTAGGAATGGATAATTTGAAGTAAATAAACACAAAATACATACCTCGTGATGACACAGTCATTCTCTTCTAATTTAAATCAGGTATTTCTCTAAAAGAATGTATTTTCCACAGATTAACTAGTCATCACTCAGACCAAATCATGAAAATGTTTAAAATCCTATTAAGCATTGCAGACTATTCAATTTTATAAAAAAATTATCTTTTTCCATCTGAAATACTCCCTGGACTTTCTTTTCTCTCTCCTCTGATAAACTGATAACTATATTTTTAAAAAGGACACTTGCCCAAAATGGTAATTCTGCAATTTAAAATTATAACAATTTATCAATAAAGGCTATTATCCTACAAACCAATAGGGATATACTATATTTACTATCACCTTTTGGTTTTAAAAATGTTGAAATCATGCAGCTAAAATGGTATGGTAAAAAAAAAAAAATCTATTGTAAATGACTGTCCTGTAAGACTAAATGTTGTCTGGTATAAATTCAGTGAGGCTCTGATCTTGGATTTATGCTTACACCTTTAAAAGCTTAAAAACAACCCTAAAATATTATACTTTTACTTAAAAATATACATCCATTCTAAAATCTCTGTATTTGTATTATAAAAATGCTTTCAATTCAATATAACCCAGAGAGAAATAAATATAATTCATGATTTACATTTATAGCATATCACAGATTTTCTCATAATCTAAATAACTATGTGGCATAATTTATCTCCCCAGTTTAAAGAAGTTGTTTAGCTCTCCTGTGCTTTGTAATGTGGGAATTTAGTTAAAAATATGGAGAGAGAAAGAGAGAGACTTGTATGTGATGAGAACCTGAAGGAAAAAAGAGAAAAGGGAGAGCAGCTCATAGACCAAACTTAAGTATTCTCCCAGATATACTGCAAAATCTTTGTTTAAAAAGGGTGCAGAGTATAACAAGGCCAGGTTTTCTTTTGAACCTTTAAAAATAAGTTCATAGGAGTTCTGGAAGGATAATTAGTCACGAGTTGGGCAGCGGTACATAGTCTATAAAAGCAAGTAATTTCTGCACTATATTAAGTAAGATATGGGGCTCGATCTTGCTACGGCACTTCGTTTTAACCTGGAAAGAAAACAATAAATTCTACAAGGAGTTCACTTGACGTCATAATCAATCATCTAATAAATATATAACCAAGGAACAAACGTGTAAGACACGGCACCAGACCCTGTGAAGGATAAAATAGATAAAATGAATCACATATAATCTTCAAAGGCAACTTTTGCAGAAGGAGAAAGAACTATACCTACCTAGCCGGGGCTTAGAAATTTTGTAAAGGTATGATTGTCACATACAAAAAAAACTGAAAAAGTTGGTGGGTTGATCATGGCTTTTAAAAATTATGTATGTTACACAGCACGACGTAAACTGTATTCAGGCTTTTTGATCAGATACTCACAGAATGATTGTAAGAAGGTTCCAATATCACAGGTAATGACATTTTCCCTTGAAGATTCAATTTTGTTAAATAAAAAATCTTTTCCCCCACAATCTTTTCTTTTTTCATGCGATGTACACCATATAGTCTAAACCGAACTGCATAATTTCCAATCATCTCAGATTCAACGTGATTAAATTTGAATGTTTCTGTGAAGACAGGGCATGGTCCTCTCTGGATGCTGGTTTTTGCTCTCTGTTTCTTTATAGGTAGAAGAACAAGGTGTACTTGCCATGAGTTGCCACCTGTCCTGTTATGTGTTGGGATATCTGTGACAGCTGTCACTGTTACCAGAAGCTTCTGTTCTTGGGAGTCATAGTCAAAAGTCACATCCAGTGTGCCGTATTTAGCTTCTGGCTCAGGATCAAAAGGTTTAGGAAGCTGTGATGATGATCCTTGAGCTGACATATCCTAAGAAAAGCAAATTTAAATGTTTTCAGTTTTTAGCTCTATCATTTAATCTAGCATGTAAATAAATACGTGATATTTCTTTAGGAAGATGATGTGAAAACTGTCTTGATTTGCTGTCAGAAAGAAAGTAAGAGTAATTAACGGTCAACTACCATCAAAAGCTACTCTACAGGGCCAGGGTGGGAAAAGTGGTAGGTTAAACTCAAAAACTTATTATAACAAAGAATTTAGTATCTCCCATCACAATTTTGAGAAAGTTGGATATATGTCTTCATGATGAGAATTGAAAATATATACTTCAATGTGTATCTCTCTTCTTTTTGTAGGAAACGACTATATTTTACTTCCAACATTATAAACAACACAATTGACAGCTCAGTATTAGGCTGGCGAGAGAGATAACATAAATACGAGTGTAATGCCGTCGAAAATTTGGTCCCATTTAAGTCTGTTCTAAAACACCCCCATCTGTAATAGAATGTAAACACATTCAGGCTTGGAAATCAATGGAGATGTAAAATATGAAAGGATAAATCCAAAGGCCTCAAAAATATTTGCAGCCAAACACTTACATTCCATAACACACACACACTTTTTTACACTTTAACTTTTAATCTGAATTTAAAACTATGTATTATATTTCTTAATGTTAATTACTGTTGAAAATTGCTGACTACACATTTCAAAAGTTCAAAAAAGACTGAAACTATACATTTTGATTATAAGTTTAAAAGAAATTATACCCATTCTACCTGGAGCTGTCTCAAATTCCTGCCAGTCTAACTCTCTGGAATGTAACAGGAGTGTCGGCTAGTTACCAACAGTGCCAAACCCAGGTCTCTGACCTTTCAACTATAACCACTTTGCCCCTTCAGGTATTTTAATAAATCTTAAATGTCTTTTATTTTGAAATGTGGACCAATTTTACAATTTTCTAACTGTTTCTGAGCTTGTCCTTAGTGCCTATGGTAGCAGTCACTACTATTAGTCCCAGTCTTCCCTTTTTGCATTTCTAAGAAGAACTACCTGAGTTTTAGGCAGAACAACACTGCCTGGCAAGAGCCTATATTTCCAAACTTGCTTTAGGGCTGATATGCTCATGAGACTCGGCCTTGGTCAATGGGAGGCAAACAGAAGTTACGTCTGAAACGTCCAGATCAGGTTTACACAAGACATTACCAGCCCTTCACTCTTTCTCAGTCTTCCCATAAGCAGATGCGCAGGTAGGATGTGGCTCTGCCTGGACCAGGTGGACTAGGACAGTACTCTAGGGGATGGCAGAATGACAAAACCCAACAACAACGGCATCAAAACTCTGGGTCCCTGAATGATGTTGTAGAGCAAAGCCACCTACTCACCATGGACCCTGGACTGTCATTAAATGAAAAGCAATCTTTGGTGGTTTTTAGCTACTGTATTGGTCTCTTGTTAAAGCAGTTTAACATGTACCTATTATACTGTGTCAGGCTACAGTTTAGGTGGGGGGGTGCAGTAGAGAACCAAAAATATTCAGGTCTTTTACCTTATAAATCTTACATGTCTACCTACTTATGGTGACCTGCTCGGTACCATGTATGAAAAGAAAGGTAACAAATGAAGAACAATACTTGGGGAGAGGCAACAAACTCTTAAAGAAGAATTCAGGTTTTTTTTTTAAATGGAATATGATGAAATCAGGGTAACATATTCTTACTCAGTCAAAAAAAACCTGACAGCCTAGAGAAAAATGGTTTAATGTATGCCCCTTCATAATTGGCAATCAAAGATGATTAATTACATGGCTTTGATTTTTCAATGAAATATTTTCTAAAATAGTATCATAATAGCTAGGATTCTCAAGGAAGTAAAAAATTGCATAAGGTCCTAGACAGGGTTAAAAGGGCGGAACTTTACAGATAAAAACTACTATTTGTGTTCTGTAACAGACAACTAGAAAATAATTCTTCCTTTCAAGGTGTCTGAATTCAAGTTTTGAATCATTGTTAGCTAACAATAGGTCGTCAATAGAGTCTGTGACCTCCTTGCCAGGGATCTTTCTGGAACCCTCAGTCCTATTTCAGTTCAGTCATGTATGTGGATGGGTTCTAACATAGCTATATCCTGGATAAACCAAGAAAAAAAGTAAGAATTTTCTATCTGATAAATAATATCTATTAAAGGAACAGCAGGAAGCAAAATACACTTGAAAAAACACAAGATTGGGCTTTATACTAACAGGCTATAAAAGCATCTAGTTATTGATATAATCTGCATTTGCTGTATTGTTTGAATATATTCAATTCTGCTATAGAGACACAAAACAAGCAGCATACAAGAGACTCATCAGTGTTAACAGAGAGCAAGCTGGCAGCTTCTGAAATATGGGCAAAACTCAAAGGTTGTATTAACTATAAATAATGAATAAGGAAGTAACTTGAGAGACAGGCAAAATTCAGAAGATACAGTAACTACAGATATTAACTAAGTTAATAACTTGGAATATATGCCAAAGATAGACATAATAAACATATTATAGAACAAATGAGCACTACCTTGAGAAAGGGGTGTGAAGCTCACGCCATGATCACATCACCTCTGAGCTAATAGCTGTGTCACCCATGTGTTCCTTAAGCAGAAATGCAAATAAAAAGGCTAACTGGCAAGTTTCACTGATGCCCAGGAGTACCTGTCCCTGCATCTCTCCCAGAAAACAAAGTTTTTGGCCCTGGGCACCCCTGTCCAAATCTTGACTCTTGGGGCACTTGGCTAGCTCAGCCAGTGGAGCATGCGACTCTCGATCTGGGTGGGGGTCGTCAGTACAAGCTCTGTGGTGGGTGTACAGATTTATATAAAAAAATCTCAACTCTTGCCCCTGTCATCACACCGTATAAAGGGAACACTGATGGGGCAGAAAGAATGACAGGGACATATGGGCAATACTTAAATCAAGGCTCACACAGTGTGTTCCTGCCACCTGTACCTACTGGCATCCTATCCTAAGTGTGTTAACACTTAGCTCATCTTGCTCCTCTTACTTCTTTATATTTGAAATAGATTAAAACACACACACACGTAATCTAAGCATCTGAATTTGGTCCACAAGTCCCCCGAAATCGCTTGCCTGGTGGTGTACTGGGAGGGTACAGATGCATGGAAGTAATTTCCCACACAACGATTCAGGTCAAGGACGGAAACAGGATCTAGTCGGTAAGAGCACTGTGTGCGGTCGGACCTGGGTTTGGATGATAGCGCCACCATCTGAGAGGCGCTTACATGCGGGCAAACTGCTCCACTCTCTGAGTCTGAATGTTTTCGTTTGTAAAGTGTAAATAACTTCCTGAAGATGAAGTTACTAACATGAAATGTGCTGACTGTAAAGCTTATAGAAAATCTCTGGCATAATCGTTGCCAGCCATTGTTGTTGTTAATTCCACAATCCAGGCTTGGCTGCCAGCTTGTTGGCCAGCTCTCGGGCAGGTAAGCCTATACAACAGTGGTCTCAACATGTTCAGGCACAAGGAAGGATTCTTGGGGAAAATCATGGAATCCTGATGGATTAAACTTAAAATACCAATGTGGAATTTTCTTCTAAGTTAGATACTATATTAGAATACTAGAAATAGTAGAAAAGTAGTAACAGATAAAATATGTTTTTAGAAATTACATAAGAAAAACTTAAAATTAAGGGAATTCTGTTCATAGCTCTACTTCCATTATTTAATTTTGGTGGTAGATGAAAATTCACCCAGTAAGAACACTGACACACTACAGTATTATGAAATGTTGTCTGGGACAAAAGTTGTAAAAACCTGCAATCTAAAAGAAATAAATCCTAAAAGCACATACTATCTACTGGAAACCTTTAAATTACCTTTATCGTTTTCATCATAAAAGGAAGATTAAAACAAATCCTTTCTAGAACATGGAGAGACTTCGAAAGTTCAACACACTTATTTTTGTTGTTATTTTCACATTTTTGCTTCAAAATAGGAAATAACTTAAAACACAACCAACCAACGACTCTAAACACATGATGCCATGCATTCAAGTTTCATTAGTAAAGCTGAGCATCACTTATCCCTTCCATATTCCATGATATGAAAATGCAAAAACATCATTTTTGAAAAACCTATAAAACACAAATGAGCAACCTCCCCAAAGTAAAAATATCCCAAATAAAAGAATTTTAAAAATAAAAAGCACATAAATAGGAACCTCAAGATGAAAGAAACATTTAAGTAATTCCAGAATATTTTGTATAAAATGTGAAAATATAAAGACCTATCTTGAGGTTGAAACCCAGGGAAGATAATCTGTTTCAGTATCTTGTGAATTGCTCTCATTTTTAGCTACCCATCTTCCTTTTGGGAAAAGGGAGGGGGGTGGGTGGAGAAGGGTTGGGACAGTCCTGGTAAGTCTGCCGGATAAAGATGAGATCCAGGATAACACTGGTACCTAAGCCACAAAGGACAGGACAGTGATAAAACCTTCTTACCGAGAGGAGAAGCACAGGGTTATCATCCTCCAATTACATGCACGTAAAAGGCTCTAGGTGTTGTGTTACTTACTTCTGGGCTCAGGACTGCGGTGCTGTCGCTTGGAACATCTTCTTCATATCCTTTATTAGGAAAACTTTCTATTTCACGACCTATGCTTCCTTCACTTGGGCACTTGTTATATGAGCATCTTGGACTGTTGCTGCAGTGGGAAAATTCACATTTACTGTCCCCAATTTCTGAGGGCGTACATGAGAGATGGGGAGAACCACTGTCATCCTGATATGGTGGTGGCTGCAATTCATCCAGTGGGGGTGTTCTTCTCATTCTCTGAATGCAGTTTCCTGACAATGATTAAGAATCTGGTCACTGTTTCCAATTAGCCTCAACATGCAGTACAGTCCACAATTACTGTAAATAACTTTAAAAAAACTGGATCAAGAAATTTGTGGCAACATAACTAGTAGATTCACTTGCAAGTTTCCTTCTTCCCTAACAGAGAGATGCAGAAGTAAAATAGCCTGGTTTCCCACTCCTCTCCTCCTGCACAGTAAGATTAGGAAAAATAAAAGTCACGTATGTGGAGAGATGCTGTTAAAGACCACAAAGATGGAAGAGCGATAAATATTAGTGAACTAGCTTATTTATTTAGTTCTTTCTTTCACAACAATCCGGAAGCATACACATATTTTGACTACTCCCCCATGATGTGTGGCCTCTCTAGCCACACTAGGTACAAATACGGGAGGGACCACAAACATAAAAACCTCATTTATTTTCTTCAGCTACGGAGATGGACTTAAACTAGCACTCGGCTCAGCCATGTCAGAAACTATTTCTCCACATCCACATGAGATCCAGAATCCTAAAATGAGGTGCACTGTGAACCCAGGCCTAATCCCCATTAACGAGCAGAAACCGAACGCTGCATTTCAGCCAGTCTCCACAATCAGGCGGCTGCTCCCTGCCCCACCCCCCCATGGCCCCCTGCCCCCAATGCCGCTCCCTGCCCCCACTGCAGCTCTCCCTGCCCACTGCATCCCTCTCCCCCTTCTAAAGTGTATGGCTCCACCTTGTCTACAGCAGGCATCTCTACCTCCAGCAATGAATCTGAAACCACATTTTCTTGCAGTCTTAAATTATCCTTTTAATTTTTACCTCAATGATCTGTCTCAGGAGCTCAGAATAAATAGGTCTGTGAACAGGATAGAGGTGGGGGTAGGAGGGGGATGTAAAAAAATAGAGCTGAGTATACAATTTAAGAGTAGCTAAGTCTCTGTAGATAAATCCTGAATGCAATATCAGGTATTAAATTTAAACACTGCTCATTTTTTCTTTTAATGGACTGTGAATCTCCGTTCTTAAAAGGGGCCCTGAAAAAAGGTATTTTGTATTATAATTCTTATAATGGAGTTCAGTTCAAACGCTCAATAGGTCTTCTGTTCTTCCTAAGACAGTAAAACTTTACATAAGAAATACAAAGCTCATTTAAAAATTATCACAATGCCTGGTTCAACGAAAAATATTAATTTGCATGAACTTAGCACAAATTTACATATTTGCTCAGAAGCAAATTTTAGAAAAAGAAAACTAAACGTCTTACCTAGTGAGTCTAACATATCAACTTTAGTTTATAAAACATAAGCAAAAAATAAAAAAGTTACTGAATTAACATACTTGAAGCTAAATTTGAGAAGGGAAGATAGATTAAATTGATACACTGCACTTAGTAGCAAATAAATATCCCAGATTTCAGAGAGGGGCTTCCAGGAAACCTTTGGTTTTCCTGATAAAAGCAGGCAGACTCAACTGGCAGGCACTTTTTGTCCCTTCTCTTTCCTCCTGCCTGGAGCTGCTGCAGCCATCTTGTAACCACGAAGTATACAGGCATGACAATGAAAGCTAAGGGGAAGGAAGCAGAAAAACAGAGAGTATCTGGGTAACTGAAACATCACTAAGTAGCTATGGCCAAACTTTTTGAAGCCTAAGACAAATCCCTCTAGGTTAAAAAACATAACAACAACAAAACAGTGACAGTTGGATTTTCTGTTTCCAAATATATTCTCCATTGATACTTCTAAAATTATTTAACCAATATCCCCCCTCATTAAAAATGTGTATTTAATCAGCCATTGAATTATAAATTAAATGGTAATACCTAATATTTGCTGTAACAGGAAGTCAACTAAAAATTTCCCAATGTAGGGGTTTTAGGAGTTGGCATACCATCTTTTCCTTTACCTTTATTTTTTTTAAAAGAGAGGTGATCTTTCCCAGATCTCAGACCTGATTGCTCAGCATTTTATCTCACAGGTCACACTGGAGAGAACTGGGTACATTTCTATTCCTCAAACCATCTCTTAAGGGGGGAAGGATGGGATTACCACAATTGACTTAGATTAATAAGAAGCCATCAAAGTGAAGCTGGGGATGGAGTCAGCTTCAATGTCCATATTTATATGGGAGAGAGTAGAGGCCACTCACCAAGAAAAGAAAGAGAAAGAACTTAAATGAATAAAATTAGATATGAAAATAGAGACATTACAACGGAAACCTAACCACAGATATAAAAGATCACACAAGATTACTATGAAAAAGTATATGACAACAAATTGGACAACCTAGAAGAAACATAAATTCCTAGAAACATACTAGTTACCAAGATTGAATCATGAAGAAATAGAAAATCTGAACAGACCAATAACTAGTAAGGAGATTAAACCAGTAATCAATAGCCTCCCAACAAACAGATGTCCAGGGCCAGATGGCTTCACTGGTGAAGTCTACCAAAACTTAAAGAAGAATTAATACTAACTCCTCTCAAACTCTAACAAAAAACAGAAGAGGAGGGATCACTTCCCAACTCGTTTTACCAGGTCAGCGTTACCCTGATACCAAATCCAGACAAGGACACTACAAGAAAACTACAGGCCAATATCCCTAATAAATATAGATGCAAAAATTCTTAACAAAATATCAAGAGACCAAATTCAACAATACATGAAAGGCATCATACAACATGATCAATTGGGATCTATTCCAGGGATTCAAGGGTGGTTTGACATCTGTAAATCAAGTGATGCAATACAACACATTAACAAAATAAAAGATAAAAATCATATGATTATCACAATAGATGTAGAAAAAGCATTTGACAAAATTCAACAGCCATTCATGACAAAAACTCTCAAGAAACTGGGTAGAGAGAATGTTAGTCAACATAATAAAGGCCATATACAACAAACCCACAGCTAACAGTATATTCAACAGTGAAAAGCTGAAAGCTTCTCCTCTAAGATAAAGAACAAGACAAGGATGCTGACTCTTACCACGTGGAAATCCTAGCCAGAGCAATTAAGCAAGAAAAGAAATAAAAGGCATCCAAATTGGAAAAGAAGAAGTAAAACTGTCTCTATTTCCAGATGACATGATAGTATATATAAAAAACCCTAAAGACTCCACCAAAAAACTGTTAGGACTAATAAATGAATTCAGTAAAGTTGTAGGACACAAATCAATATAAAAAATCAGTTGCATTTCTACATACTAACAACAAACTATCAGGAAAGAAATTTTTTAAAATTCCATTTACAATTTGCATCAAAAAGAACAGAATACTTACAAATAAATTTAGTCAAGGAGATGAAAGATCTACCTGCACGATACACTAAGAACTATAAGATACTGATGAAAGAAATTATAAAAGACACAAAACAAATGCAAAGATATTTTATGCAAATGGATTGGCAGAAATAGTATTGTTAAAATGTCCATACTACTCAAAGCACTCTACAGATTCAAAGTGAACTCTATAAAAATTCCACTGGCATTTATTCACAGAAATAGAAAAAAACAGTTCTAAACTTTGTATGGAACCACAGAAGACTCCAAAAGCCAAAGCAATCTTGAAAAAGAAAAACAAAGCTGGAGATATCAGTCTTCCTGATTTCAAACTATATTACAAACGTACAGTAGTCAAAAGAGTATGGCATTGGCATAAAAAACAGATACACAGATCAACAGAACAGAACAGATAGCCCAGAAATAAACACATATATTGCCAATTAATTTATTACAAAAGAGCCAAGGATATACAATGGGGAGAGGAAAATCTCTTTAATAAATGGTGATGAGAAAATTGGACAGTCACATGCAAACTAATGAAACTGAATCACTATCTTATAAACAAAAAACCAACTCAAAATGGAATAAAGACTTGAATATAAAGCTTGAAACTATAAATCTTAAGTGAAAACATAGGGAATAAGCTCCTTCACACTGGTCTTGATAATGCCAGGAGCAAAGGCAACAAAAGCAAAAATAAACAAGTGGGACTATATCAAAATAAAAAGCTTCTGCATAGAAAGCCATCAAAAAATTATAGACAACCTATGGAATGGGAGAAGATATTTACAAATAATATATCCAATAAAGGGTTAATACTCAAAATATATAAATAACTCCTCCAACTTAACAGCAAAATAACAATCTGATTAAAAAATGGGCTGAGGAATTAAACACATTTTTTTCAAACAAGACATCCAAATGGCTAATAGGTATATGAAAAGGTGGTCAACATCACTAATCATCAGGGAAATGCAAATCAAAAGTATAATGAGATATTTCACACCTGTTAGAATGCCTAATATCAAAAAGACAATGGATAACAAATGCTGGCTAGGATGGGGATAAAATGGAACCCTTGTACACTGTTGGTGGGAATGTAAACTGGTAAAACCAGTTTTAAAACAGTATGGAGATTCCTCAAAAAATTAAAAATAGAACTACCATATGATCAAGCAATTCTACTTCTGGGTATTTATCTGAAGAAAATGAAATCACTATCTCAAAAAGATACCTGCACTCCATGTTCACTGCAGTATTATTTATAATAGTCAAAACATGCAAACAACCTAAGTGTCCATCAATGGATGAATGCATAAAGGAACACACACTGGACTGTTATTCAGCCACAAAAAAGAAGAAAATACTGAATTTGTGACAACACAGATGAACCTTGAGGGCAAGTGAAATAAGTCAGAAGAGAGAGAAAACTACTGTATGATGTTACTTATATGTGGAATCTACAAAATCTGAACTCACAGATACAGAGAACAGATCGGTCATTGCTAGAGGTGGGGATGGGAGGGGTGAAGGAAATGTGTGAAGGGGCTTTCCAGTTATAAGATAAATAAGTCCTGGAACGTAATGTACAGCATGGTGACAGCAATAATGTATTGTAGACTTGAAAGTTGCTAAAGGAGAAGATCTTCAAAGTTCTTTTTTTTTTTTTTTAAGGATTTATTTATTTAACAGAAAGAGAGATAGGAGAGAGAGAGCACAC